TCAAACTCTTGGGCTTAAGTGATTCTCTTGCTTCAGTCTCCCAAGTAGTTGGAACTACAAGCCCTTGCCACAATGTGCGGCTATTTTTTAGAGATGGGGTCTCGCTCTTGCTCAGGCTGGTCTTAAATTTGTGAGCTCAGGCAATCCACCTGCCTTGGCCTCCAAAGTGCTGGGATTACAGTCATGAACCACCATGCCCAGCCCTAATTTGGATAGTCTAGATCCTGTGCATTTCCATAAATATTAGAAGCATCATACCAGTTTCTATAGAACAGTCTGGTTGGATTATGATTGGGATTGCATTGAAGGTATATGCCAATTTGAAAAGAAATGATATCTTAACAGTATTGAGTTTTCAAGTATGTGAATAGTATTGAATTTTCAAGTATGTGAAAATGGGCTGGGTGAAGTGGTTCATGTCTGTAAGCCTCCCACTCTGGGAGGCCAATGTGGGTGGATATCTTTTTTTTTTTTGGAGATAGAGTGTCACTTTGTCACCCTTGGTAGACTATCATGGCATTGTGGCTCACAGCAACTTCAAACTCTTGGGCTCAAGAGATTTTCTTGCTTCAGCCTCCCAAATAGCTGGGACTCTAGGTGCTCACCCCAACGCCTGGCTATTTTTAGAGACAAGGTCTTGCTCTGGCTCAGGCTAGTCTCAAACCTGAGAGCTCAAGCAGTCCACTTGCATCGGCTTCCTAGAGTGGTGGGTAGATTTCTTGAGCTCAGGAGTTTGAGACCAGCCTGAGCAAGAACAAGACTTTGTCTCTAAAAATAGCCAGGCACGTGGCAGGTGCCTATAGTCCCAGCTACTTGGGAGGCTGAAGCGAGAGGATCACTTGAGTCCAAGAGTTTGAGATTCCTATGAGCTATGATGCCAGAGCACTCTACTGAGAGTGACAAAGTAGAGACTCTGTCTCAAAAAATAAAAAAAAGTTAACATGGAACATCTCCCTTTTTATTGAGGTCTTCTTTAATTTCTTTTAGTTCTGTTTAGTTTTCAGTCTGGAAGTCTTACACATCTTTTGTTAAAGTTATTCCTCGATATGCCTTTTACCTTGATTATAAAATGGAGCCATCATTTCTGTAATTCATAACTCTGTCTATAATGGGTCATTTTTCTCTAGCTGCTTTCAGAATTTTCTCCTTTGATATTTAATAGTTTGCCTATTGTGTGTCTAGGTGTAATTATTTTTTTATTGATACAGCTTGAGGTTTGTGTAACTTCTTAAATCTATACATTTTTATCAACCCATTTGGGATATTTGGAGCCATTATTTAAAAAAAATATTCTGTTCCGGAGTGTGGTGGTTCATATCTATAATTCTAGCCCTCTGGGAGGCTGAGACAGGAAGATTGCTTGAAACCAGGTGTTTGAGACCAAGACTAGTCTGAGCAACAATGAGACCCTTTCTCTACTAAAAGTAGAAAAAACTAGCTGGGTATCATGTTGCATGTCAGCAGTCCAGCTACTTGGGAGCCAGGAGAATGGCTTAAGCCCAGGAGTTTGAGGTAGTTACTGCACTCTAGTACTCTATCTAGCCCCTGTGACAGAGTGAGACCCTGTGACTGAGCTCACGTGATCCACCTGCCTCAGCCTCCCACAGGGCTAGGATTACAGGCGTGAGCACAGCACAGTTTTCTTTTTTTTTTTT